ATGAATATTGAGTATAAAAGTTGTAAAGAGAACATGTGATGAACATGAAAACATAGAAAATATGACTAGAATTTGTAGAGAAAGTAATGAGACTAAGAGAAAGATTACAGAAAAAATGGAGATACTTGTGAAAATATAAACTGAATGGGACTGTGAACATTTGAAGAACATGGAGTGAACATAGAAAACATGGACAAAATGTGAAGAACACAGCTGAATATAGAGAAAATATGCAAATACAGTATGATTATTGAAGGTTTTGATACGTTGGGGATGAGAAGGGTAAAGTAAATACTCTGATAAACAGATAGGCTGGAGAGGGACTTGATCGAATATATTTATGTCTGATGATCTAAGGCTGAGGAAATGGAGCTTGGTTAATGCCCCGATTAATTTTACTACGTTAGAAATACGGTGATCTTAAATCTCAGGGTGATTTAGTTGGAAAATAAAGAACTTGTACAAATGAACTAAGCTGGGGCACAAGAGTTGAAACTTGATAACTGAACTGGTTTTTATTTACTATGTCTGAAAATGTAGTTGGGTGATTTGGACTGAGAGTAATGATTTTACAAAAGTGAGCTTGGACAGAGGACAAGAGCTAGAGTTTTATAATTGTTTACTTCATATTTACTATGTCTGAAATACAGCGGGTAAAAATTTCAGGGAAATTGATGGTTTATTTACAAAGATATGAAAGAGAACTAAGGCGGGGACGAGAGCTGGAGCTCGATAACTGACTTGATTTTATTTACTAACTTTGAAGTATGTCTGCTTTAAATTTTAGGGAAATTGATGGGTTATTTACAAAGATACGAAGGAGAACTAAGGCGGGGACGAGAGCTGGAGCTCGATAACTGACTTGATTTTATTTACGGTGTCTGAAATACAGAGGGTAAAAATTTCAGGGAAATTGGACTGTTACTAACGATCTTGTATAAACGAACTAAGGTGGGGGACAAGCGCTGGAGCTCGATATCTGTTTTGATCTTATTTACGGAGCCTGAAATACAGAGGGTAAAAATTTCAGGGAAATTGGACTGTTACTAACGAAGATACGAGAGAGAGCTAAGGCTGGAGGACAAGCGCTGGAGCTTGGTAACTGTTTTGATCTTATTTATGGTGCCTGAAATACAGAGGGTAAAAATTTCAGGGAAATTGGACTGATACTAACGAAGATACGAGAGAGAGCTAAGGCGGAGGACAAGCGCTGGAGCTTGGTAACTAAATTACTGTATTGAACTACGTTTGAAATATGATTATTTTTAAATTTTAGAGGGATTGGAATGATAGTATTCATTATACGACAGGGGACTAAGGTGGGGGAACGTGAGCTAGAACATGCTTACTAACACGATTTATTTGTGTAAAACTGACTTGCTTAATGAAAAGGAGCAAACATACGATGTTGGAAAATAGCTGAACTGAACTGAATGAAAGGAGAGAGAGAGAGAGGAGGGACGGTTGAGATATTATTATGGAGAAGATAAGATAAGAGGTCTGGCTGGCCGGGCGTAAGGTAAATAAAGGTGACGCGAGAGATTGCGAGGTAAGGGGGGAGGGAGGGAGGGGGGTGTGATGTACGAAACACTGAAAACCCTGGCTCACACAGGTGATTTTCTAAATTTATATGAATAACTAAGGCTTACATAGACGATTTTGTAAGTTGAAAACATGTAAAATATGTCCGTAGAGTTCTCCTGGAAGCCCTAAAGAGCTACATACGTTACTTGAATTTGTCCCATAAGGCCTTAACAAACTTCTATGTCTCGGAAATTATTTTTCTCATAAGAACTTTAACAAACTTCTAAAATCTGAGACATAAAATTTACCTGAAAACCCTGGCTCACACAGACGATATTGGAACCTGAAAACATTGGCTCACACGCGTGATTTTGGAACCTGAAAACCATGGCTCACACGCGTGATTTTTTCCCCTTTGGACCTGAAAACCATGGCTCACACGCGTGATTTTTTCCCCCCAAAAAAAAATCACCTGTGCGTTGCCATCCCTACTACTACGGTGTTGGTGCTACAGTGTGACGGTGTTGGTGCTACAGTGTGTAGTGTGACGGTGTTGGTGCTACAGTGTGTAGTGTGACGGTGTTGGTGCTACAGTGTGTAGTGTGACGGTGCTGGTGCTACAGTGTGACGGTGTTGGTGCTGCAGTGTGACGGTGTTGGTGCTGCAGTGTGACGGTGTTGGTGCTACAGTGTGACGGTGTTGGTGCTACAGTGTGACGGTGTTGGTGCTACAGTGTGACGGTGTTGGTGCTACAGTGTGACGGTGTTGGTGCTACAGTGTGACGGTGTTGGTGCTACAGTGTGACGGTGTTGGTGCTACAGTGTGACGGTGTTGGTGCTACAGTGTGACGGTGTTGGTGCTACAGTACTCACCTAATTGTACTCACCTAATTGTGCTTGCGGGGGTTGAGCTTTGGCTCTTTGGTCCCGCCTCTCAACTGTCAATCAACTGGTGTACAGATTCCTGAGCCTACTGGGCTCTTATCATATCTACATTTGAAACTGTGTATGGAGTCAGCCTCCACCACATCACTTCCTAGTGCATTCCATTTATTAACTACTCTGACACTGAAAAAATTCTTTCTAACGTCTCTGTGGCTCATCTGGGTACTAAGTTTCCACCTGTGTCCCCTTGTTCGTGTCCCACCCGTGCTGAAGAGTTTGTCTTTGTCCACCCTGTCAATTCCCCTGAGAATTTTGTAGGTGGTTATCATGTCTCCCCTTACTCTTCTGTTTTCCAGGGATGTGAGGTTCAGCTCCTTTAGCCTTTCCTCGTAGCTCAATCCTCTCAGTTCCGGGACGAGCCTGGAGGCATACCGCTGAATCTTCTCTAACTTTGTCTTGTGTTTAACTAGGTATGGACTCCAGGCTGGAGCTGCATACTCCAGGATTGGTCTTACATAAGTGGTATACAGGGTTCTGAAAGATTCCTTTCACAAGTTTCTGAAGGCAGTTCTTATGTTGGCCAGTCTAGCATATGCCGCTGATGATATTCTTTTGATGTGGGCCTCTGGGGACAGGTTCGGTGTGATATCAACCCCCAGATCCTTCTCTCTATTTGATTCTTGCAGGATTTCCCCTCCCAGATGATACCTTGTGATCAGCCTCCTGCTCCCTTCGCCTAATTTCATCACCTTACACTTTCCAGAGTTGAACTTCAGCAGCCATTTTCTAGACCATTCCTCCAGTTTATCCAGGTCATCCTGTAGTCTCTGTCTATCTTCATCCGTCTTGATTCTTCTCATAATTTTTGCATCATCAGCAAACATCGAGAGGAATGAGTCTATACCCTCTGGAAGATCGTTCACATATATTAGAAACAGGATGGGTCCAAGTACTGAGCCCTGTGGGACTCCGCTGGTGACATCTCGCCACTCTGATGTCTCCCCCCTCACCGTTACTCGCTGTTTCCTGTTGCTTAAGTACTCCCTTATCCACTGGAGCACCTTCCCTTTTACTCCTGCCTGTTGCTCCAACTTTTTTAACAGCCTTTTATGGGGTACTGTGTCAAAGGCTTTTTGGCAATCCAGGAAAATGCAGTCGGCCCACCCTTCTCTTTCCTGCCTAATTTTCGTTGCCTGGTCATAAAATTCTATTAACCCTGTGAGGCACGATTTACCATCTCTGAACCCATGTTGGTGGTGCGTTACAAAGTTATTTCCCTCCAGATGCTCTACGAGCCTTTTCCTCACGATCTTCTCCAGCACCTTGCATGGTATACAAGTTAAGGAAACTGGCCTGTAATTCAGTGCCTCTTGCCTGTCACCCTTTTTGTATATTGGGACCACGTTAGCTGTCTTCCAACTTTCTGGTAAGTCTCCTGTTTCCAGTGACCTGTTATACACCATAGAGAGTGGCACACTTAGTGCTTCTGCACCTTCCTTTAGTATCCATGGTGAGATTCTATCAGGCCCAACAGCCTTTGTCACATCTAGCTCCAGCAGACACCTTTTGACCTCATCACTGGTGAGGTCAAATTCCTCCAAGGTTTCCAAGGTTGCTGCCTCCTCATTTAGTGCAGGGGCTTCTCCTTGTTCTATTGTGAAGACCTCCTGGAATCTCTTGTTGAGTTCTTCACACACCTCCTTGACAGTGTGACGGTGTTGGTGCTACAGTGTGACGGTGTTGGTGCTACAGTGTGACGGTGTTGGTGCTACAGTGTGACGGTGTTGGTGCTACAGTGTGACGGTGTTGGTGCTACAGTGTGACGGTGTTGGTGCTACAGTGTGACGGTGTTGGTGCTACAGTGTGACGGTGTTGGTGCTACAGTGTGACGGTGTTGGTGCTACAGTGTGACGGTGTTGGTGCTACAGTGTGCCGGTGTTGGTGCTACAGTGTGCCGGTGTTGGTGCTACAGTGTGACGGTGTTGGTGCTACAGTGTGTAGTGTGACGGTGTTGGTGCTGCAGTGTGACGGTGTTGGTGCTACAGTGTGACGGTGTTGGTGCTACAGTGTGACGGTGTTGGTGCTACAGTGTGACGGTGTTGGTGCTACAGTGTGACGGTGTTGGTGCTACAGTGTGACGGTGTTGGTGCTACAGTGTGTAGTATGCTGCTGTGTGTGTGTGTGTGTGTGTACTCACCTATATGTACTCACCTATATGTGCTTGCAGGATCGAGCATTGACTCTTGGATCCCGCCTTTCTAGCTATCGGTTGTTTACAGGAATGACTCCTGTCCCATTTCCCTATCATGTGTGTGTGTGTGTGTGTGTGTGTGTGTGTGTGTGTGTGTGTGTGTGTGTGTGTGTGTGTGTGTGTGTGTGTGTGACATCCTGCAGTGTGTATGTCTTTCTGCTAAATCAGAGTGATAAAAACAATGTCCTTTGCTCAAAACGCTAAAAATTTAACATTCATACATTTGTACATAAATCGCAAATAATAATTTTTGAAATAAAATCAGACCTCCGACCAGTATAAAATATAATCATATTTAAATTGTGACGCTGGACGTCGCTGGCGTGACGGTGACGGAGCAGCACAAGGTTCGGATCCCCGCGTAGGCTGACCCGAAGCCTGAGTGACAGCAGCGTGGTTTATTGGGGCTCTGAACTGGCCAAAAAGAATTGGCACCATGGGCTTGTTCAGCGGTCAGCCAGCGCTGATCGCCTGCTCTACGCGCCACATCGCTGGTACTACGCTAGGCAAGCTAAACGTGAGTCTTATATTAATTAACTTTTACTGTAAATTTTGCTTTTTATTTTCGTATTAGGAGCTTTTTACAAGTCTTGCGTATATTGTAATATAGAGTTTTTTTTGTATAGAATTCATGCATGTGTGTTAAAATGATTTGCAAAATGTGTATAGTGCCGGGCACTTGTGTGATGATATATGTGGTTGGAAGTGCAACTCATCCTCCGAATAGACAGTATGTTTTAATACTTAATATAAGTACATTTCCTGACTGTTGTATAGTACATAATTGCACTTATGGGGCTTTTACATTTATCTCTCCATATATTAGCGTTTTAAGACACTCAGAATTTTAGGATAAAGTTTTCAAGTTCAATTCTCTATACACAAGTTTTAAATATCAGGAATTTCTTTTTCAGTTTTATTAAGCAATAAATATTTTATACAATTTAAAAATATCCTGAGTTACTTTACAATTTATTGAATATTTTAGTATTATAAAACTGTAATATCAATATAGGTTAAGTACTAACTGCAAATAAGAAGCAATAAAATGCTTGTCCTCAAACACTAAGAAGGTTAGGTTAGGTCGTGGCTTTCTAATCACCATTTCAGGTAAACTTAAATATTCACAACATATTTGACAGTACAGTTTAATACTAAGTGAAAATAAGTACAATTCCTGACTACTAGGTATAGTACATAATTACATATGTGCTGTTACACCTACACATATTCAGAGGATGAGCTGCCTTTGCTGTACCACATATGTAGGGCTAGAATAGTGCCTATTGTGCTATGACACTGTAGTCCCCTTGACCCCCCCCCCCCCACTCCCTGGGGGGGAGCCTAAACCACATATGTGTTTTCCTGCGCCACGCCTCGGCCCCTACAGGAGCGGCAGTCCAAGGCGCTGAAGAGGGCGACTTCGTGGAGAGTAAGGCAGCGCTTGTAATACGTGTTGAGCACTCACTGACTTGTTGTTCACTATGCCTTGGTGCCTTGTCCACTATGCCTTGGTGCCTTGTACACTATGCCTTGGTGCCTTGTACACTATGCCTTGGTGCCTTGTACACTATGCCTTGGTGCCTTGTACACTATGTCTTGCCCACTATGCCTTGCTCCCTTGTCCACTATGCCTTGCCCATTATGCCTTGGTGCCTTGTTCATTATGCCTTGGTGCCTTGTTCATTAAGCCTTGGTCCCTTGTCCACTATGCCTTGGTCTCTTGTACACTATGCCTTGCTCCCTTGTACACTATGCCTTGGTCCCTTGTCCACTATGCCTTGGTCTCTTGTACACAATGCCTTGATCTCTTGTCCACTATGCCTTGGTCTCTTGTCCACTATGCCTTGGTCTCTTGTCCACTATGCCTTGGTCTCTTGTCCACTATGCCTTGGTCTCTTGTACACTATGCCTTGGTCTCTTGTCCACTATGCCTTGGTCTCTTGTACACTATGCCTTGGTCCCTTGTACACTATGCCTTGGTCCCTTGTCCACTATGCCTTGGTCTCTTGTACACTATGCCTTGGTCTCTTGTCCACTATGCCTTGCTCCCTTATCCACTATGCCTTGCTCCCTTGTACACTATGCCTTGTCCACTATGCCTTGCTCCCTTATCCACTATGCCTTGCTCCCTTATCCACTATGCCTTGCCCACTATGCCTTGGTCCCTTGTCCACTATGCCTTGCTCCCTTATCCACTATGCCTTGCGCCCTTGTACACTATGCCTTGCCCACTATGCCTTGGTCCCTTGTATGCTGCTGGCTCACAAAGGTTGTGAACCAGCTAAAGGAGGAACCTTCCTGTTCATATTGAACCTTCCTTCACTACTCCTGGTGGCAGCCTGCAGCTTCCTGTTCAAATTGAACCTTCCTTCACTACTCCTGGTGGCAGCCTGCAGCTTCCTGTTCATATTGAACCTTCCTTCACTACTCCTGGTGGCAGCCTGCAGCTTCCTGTTCATATTGAACCTTCCTTCACTACTCCTGGTGGCAGCCTGCAGCTTCCTGTTCATATTGAACCTTCCTTCACTACTCCTGGTGGCAGCCTGCAGCTTCCTGTTCATATTGAACCTTCCTTCACTACTCCTGGTGGCAGCCTGCAGCTTCCTGTTCATATTGAACCTTCCTTCACTACTCCTGGTGGCAGCCTGCAGCTTCCTGTTCAAATTGAACCTTCCTTCACTACTCCTGGTGGCAGCCTGCAGCTTCCTGTTCATATTGAACCTTCCTTCACTACTCCTGGTGGCAGCCTGCAGCTTCCTGTTCATATTGAACCTTCCTTCACTACTCCTGGTGGCAGCCTGCAGCTTCCTGTTCATATTGAACCTTCCTTCACTACTCCTGGTGGCAGCCTGCAGCTTCCTGTTCATTTTGAACACAATTCCTTGTTGGCAGAGGTCTCGTATGATGGTATTCTGGTGAGGTATTGTATAGACTTGATGACTAGCGTTCAGCCCCGGGGATATGTTTGCTCTTTAGTATTGATCTATATTCAGGTTTTGTGCGTCTGCTGTGGTCAGTAGCGTCGTGCTGTGGTCAGTAGGGTCCTGCTGTGGTCAGTAGCGTCCTGCTGTGGTCAGTAGCGTCCTGCTGTGGTCAGTAGCGTCCTGCTGTGGTCAGTAGCGTCCTGCTGTGGTCAGTAGCGTCGTGCTGTGGTCAGTAGCGTCGTGCTGTGGTCAGTAGGGTCCTGCTGTGGTCAGTAGCGTCGTGCTGTGGTCAGTAGCGTCGTGCTGTGGTCAGTAGCGTCGTGCTGTGGTCAGTAGCGTCGTGCTGTGGTCAGTAGCGTCGTGCTGTGGTCAGTAGCGTCGTGCTGTGGTCAGTAGCGTCGTGCTGTGGTCAGTAGCGTCGTGCTGTGGTCAGTAGCGTCCTGCTGTGGTCAGTAGCGTCGTGCTGTGGTCAGTAGCGTCGTGCTGTGGTCAGTAGCGTCCTGCTGTGGTCAGTAGGGTCCTGCTGTGGTCAGTAGGGTCCTGCTGTGGTCAGTAGGGTCCTGCTGTGGTCAGTAGCGTCGCGCTGTGGTCAGTAGCGTCGTGCTGTGGTCAGTAGCGTCCTGCTGTGGTCAGTAGCGTCGTGCTGTGGTCAGTAGCGTCCTGCTGTGGTCAGTAGCGTCGTGCTGTGGTCAGTAGGGTCCTGCTGTGGTCAGTAGGGTCCTGCTGTGGTCAGTAGGGTCCTGCTGTGGTCAGTAGGGTCCTGCTGTGGTCAGTAGGGTCCTGCTGTGGTCAGTAGCGTCCTGCTGTGGTCAGTAGCGTCGTGCTGTGGTCAGTAGCGTCGTGCTGTGGTCAGTAGCGTCGTGCTGTGGTCAGTAGCGTCGTGCTGTGGTCAGTAGCGTCGTGCTGTGGTCAGTAGCGTCGTGCTGTGGTCAGTAGCGTCCTGCTGTGGTCAGTAGCGTCGTGTTGTGGTCAGTAGCGTCCTGCTGTGGTCAGTAGGGTCCTGCTGTGGTCAGTAGCGTCGTGCTGTGGTCAGTAGCGTCGTGCTGTGGTCAGTAGCGTCGTGCTGTGGTCAGTAGCGTCCTGCTGTGGTCAGTAGCGTCGTGCTGTGGTCAGTAGCGTCCTGCTGTGGTCAGTAGCGTCGTGCTGTGGTCAGTAGCGTCGTGCTGTGGTCAGTAGGGTCCTGCTGTGGTCAGTAGCGTCCTGCTGTGGTCAGTAGCGTCGCGCTGTGGTCAGTAGCGTCGTGCTGTGGTCAGTAGCGTCGTGCTGTGGTCAGTAGCGTCGTGCTGTGGTCAGTAGCGTCCTGCTGTGGTCAGTAGCGTCGTGCTGTGGTCAGTAGCGTCCTGCTGTGGTCAGTAGCGTCCTGCTGTGGGCAGTAGCGTCCTGCTGTGGTCAGTAGCGTCCTGCTGTGGTCAGTAGCGTCGTGCTGTGGTCAGTAGCGTCGTGCTGTGGTCAGTAGCGTCGTGCTGTGGTCAGTAGCGTCGTGCTGTGGTCAGTAGCGTCGTGCTGTGGTCAGTAGCGTCGTGCTGTGGTCAGTAGTGTCGTGCTGTGGTCAGTAGCGTCCTGCTGTGGTCAGTAGCGTCGTGCTGTGGTCAGTAGCGTCCTGCTGTGGTCAGTAGCGTCCTGCTGTGGTCAGTAGCGTCGAGCTGTGGTCAGTAGCGTCGTGCTGTGGTCAGTAGGGTCCTGCTGTGGTCAGTAGCGTCGAGCTGTGGTCAGTAGCGTCGTGCTGTGGTCAGTAGCGTCGTGCTGTGGTCAGTAGGGTCCTGCTGTGGTCAGTAGCGTCGCGCTGTGGTCAGTAGCGTCGTGCTGTAGTCAGTAGCGTCGTGCTGTGGTCAGTAGCGTCGTGCTGTGGTCAGTAGCGTCGTGCTGTGGTCAGTAGCGTCGTGCTGTGGTCAGTAGCGTCCTGCTGTGGTCAGTAGCGTCGTGCTGTGGTCAGTAGCGTCGTGCTGTGGTCAGTAGCGTCGTGCTGTGGTCAGTAGCGTCGTGCTGTGGTCAGTAGCGTCGCGCTGTGGTCAGTAGCGTCGCGCTGTGGTCAGTAGCGTCGCGCTGTGGTCAGTAGCGTCGTGCTGTGGTCAGTAGCGTCGCGCTGTGGTCAGTAACGTCGCGCTGTGGTCAGTAGCGTCGCGCTGTGGTCAGTAGCGTCGCGCTGTGGTCAGTAGCGTCGCGCTGTGGTCAGTAGCGTCGCGCTGTGGTCAGTAGCGTCGCGCTGTGGTCAGTAGCGTCGCGCTGTGGTCAGTAGCGTCGCGCTGTGGTCAGTAGCGTCGCGCTGTGGTCAGTAGCGTCGCGCTGTGGTCAGTAGCGTCGCGCTGTGGTCAGTTGCGTCGCGCTGTGGTCAGTACGGTCCTGCTGTGGTCAGTAGCGTCGCGCTGTGGTCAGTAGCGTCGCGCTGTGGTCAGTAGCGTCGTGCTGTGGTCAGTAGCTTTGGACAGGTCTTTGCAGGAGGACAGGTTGCAGGGGGACAGGTTGCAGGAGGACAGGTTGCAGGGGGACAGGTTGCAGGAGGACAGGTTGCAGGGGGACAGGTTGCAGGAGGACAGGTTGCAGGAGGACAGGTTGCAGGAGGACAGGTTGCAGGAGGACAGGTTGCAGGAGG